ATTGAACTGGAGCTCGAATGAGCTAACTGGACCAGAGTCTGCGTTCTGATTTCCGTGACGTCATCTTTCTGTCCATGTTCTTTAATACTCCCGGAAAAAAATGATAATATCGTCTTCCTGTCTATATACTTTTCTTTGATATTCCCAGCTTCCCTATGATAAAGATGAGGGAAAACTATTAAATAGTGACTGCCGAAACAATTTTTAATCGAAACACAGATTCTCTTTCACGCACAGTGTCGTATTAAATTCTATTAAAGCATGATACAGAATAAATTAGACAAAGAATACTATTCCTAACACTCTAATAAGAATATATGACGTTTGTGAGGTCTGTATATTTTCTCACAAAACTAATCAGACACTAACCGATACAACTATTATCATGCTAATTCTCATTGTCTAAAATTTACAAATATTGCTTCCATACACGTAAACATACTATCTATCTTTCAACACAATATAATAGTAAATCAAATACACACATACACACACACACACAAACATACAAACACGTACACACAGGCACACACACACAGACACAGATACACACATGAGCATCTGTAAAATACACATACACATACGAACTGTCTCAACATGTTTTTGCTCGTTCTTCCTGTTTCTCTCAAGTTTCTGTTTCTGGCTTTGTCTCTTTCACCTTTATCTTTCTCACGATCGCATACCGTGCGCATACGAGTGCTTTTGCTCATTTTTATCTCTCCTTCTTTCACACTCAACTTCATAATAACGAAAGCAAGCAAATTTCCACTCCTGTCATACATCAATACCTGATTTATACCTATCCTCGACTACAAGAGAACACAAATCAAAAGCAGAAGGTAAGCCATGTTCTTGAAGACCGAACAGAAGAGGACCCGTGTAGCGTACAGCACAAAATAATTTGCTACAACGGCAATAATAAATTATAGATTACGAAACATATTATCTTTAACTAACTTATCTTCTACTTTAAAAAGAGTCAGACTGTTTTGAGGTATGAGAACATATGGTAGTAACATGGACATCGTAGGCAGCATTCACTGCCCTTGAGAAGGAAGACAGTCAACAAATTTGTCAGAGCGCATGAGTCTACACAGGAGAAATGAGGTTCAGAAAATATTTATACATTTTGTACATGTACATCATATTGAATAGTCCACTTAATCAACACTACAATTGGCACAGCACATCACAGTTGCAGCAGCAACAAAACAAGAACAAAAACAAAAACAATAAAACACACAACACCAAAAAAAAAAAAGGACAAGACTACAGTATGTTGATCACGGCTACGACACCGCCATCACTGACTTGTTCAAACTTCTGCGACAGCAGCAAGAAGAAACAACAACAACAACAACAACTTACAGCAACAATAACAGTAACAGCGACAGCAGTAACAAAAAAGGCATTGCATTATCACTAGCCCTATCATAATTTATAACAATACAAACAATGATGTTATTGACATTTTTCTATACTTCTTCCACAAACACATCTTTGTCATTATCTACAACAGAATCAACAACAACAAAATCGACAACTACATCAGTAAATATGTTTAAAGACAAGTGTTTTCATTTCACAGCTAAGTTAAAAACAACAGTAACAGATTTGGTAAGTTAATCAAAGATGTTTAAAAGAAAAGACCAAACAAGACAAATTGGAGATGGAGCTAATGTAGATCTAGTTTTAAAAACCCCCCCAATAAGTTAAACATAGTCTACGAAGAGGCAATGATCAAATGATAAAAAGTGCTATGTTACAGATTGGATGGTATTGCTGACGGCTTCTTGGATTTTCCCAAGCTTACCCCGAACTTCCACGCGATCCATTTCTAATAATAATATACTGTACATTTAGAAAATAGCAGTAATTATTCAAATTATGTTTGGCTTATACAAGCCTCCACGAAATGGCGAAAAATAATTGGATCTATAGATGTTTGTGTGTTTGTGTGGGTATACATTATGGATGTGCATTATTGTTCATTTGTTGAATCCCAGTATGTGTGTTTCTCTCTCTCTCTCTCTCTCTCTCTCTCTCTCTCTCTCTCTCTCTCTCTCTCACACACACACACACACACACACTATGTATGTGTGTGTGTGTGTGTGTGTGTGTGTGTGTGTGTGTGCGCGCGCGCGCGCCATGTGTTTATATCATAAGCGTATTTTGTGAGTACTTTTCAGTGCACGGTTACGAGAATCCGTCGCCGCACTTATGTGTGGTAACTTGTGCCGTGCTGAAATAATCTTGTAATGCCTATGATGAACATGTTTTGATTGATGCTCGTCAAATGAATTAAAGGTCGGAAGATCACAAAGACCATTCAAACCCACGCATTCCCACACCTTTGTCTTATTACATTACTCACCCATCTCTCCTGTTACAATTTGATTGCGCAGTTTAAGAAATCTGCATTCCTCATTAGAAATAATCTAAGACGTCTACCGTTTCTAATGACGTGAAAAATCTGTAAACTTCGTCATGATATTTCTTTTTTGTGCTTTATTCTATTCCAAGAACCTATAATAAAAATTCCACTTTTTTCAGAAGTCAGGACAGATTCAGATTTTTTACGAGGTCCGATAAAAGAATATTGGTTTACAAGATTACATGGAAAGAGTGGTCGGTTTGTCAAGCATGTTAGTATTCACAATTAAAAAAGTATAGAAAATTTAAGTGTGTGGTTAACGGTTGCTCTGGTATGGTTTGCTACTTTCTTCGCATCTAATAACTGTCGTCTTTATCTCTTTTCTTTGTTTTTACTTGCAACGCCTCCAATCTTCGGCCCTTATAAATATGACCCATTTTCTTTTTGTATTGCAAGTGCCATAACACTCTTACTAAAACTGAATCGTTTAAAAGAAAACTTATTGAGGTGTCCACACTTGAGCTTTTCAGAAGAAAAGACATGAAGAGCTAAAAGCTTTGCGACAATTTATTTGGTAGGGTACGGTACACGTTAAACTTCCGTTTTCGCTACACAAGCTTGTTCAAGAGGTAGAACACATTCTGTGATGGTCATCTTTAATTCGACACAGACAAGCGAGTAAAGAGACATGTTAGTTGCTTAGAGATTCCAACCAAGGTCACTGAAATTCGGTGTTGTAACTACTTGGTTTGCAGAAGACCCTATCTTATTTGATGTATACCAACTTTACTCCATAAGTAGTAATACATTACGAAATATAAAAAAATACCTATCCTATCGGTCTGTCGCGTGATTTGTTTATTATCATTGCAGACGTTATGCTTCGTTGTTGTTTTTTTGGTTGTTTTTTGACAGTCTCACGTGGCCTAACACAAATTTCAAAAGTTAATATCTTCTTATACAGGTGTAGGAGGTCTTTTCTTAAATAAAAATGGCTAGGCTGACAAAACATTAAAGTACGTTTACCACATGACATATACGGTACTGAAGTAGAAATAGATCAACAAGAAAATATTATACTCTGGCCTTCGAAAAATGAGAGAAAAGGGAACAAATGCAATTTCAAAAGACTAACTCTTTCTTTATATTTTACCTTAATAAAGGCTGTAGCATTGGTATGAACACATACAAATATATCTTTGAAAAACAACCCCTCAATAACAGCAACGAAAGTAGCGACACTGTGACATACACTTCTATACCACATATTGTTATTTCATGACTCAAAAGGTCAGTGAAAATTACGTACAAATGAAGAATTTAACAATCGAATGTTTAGGAAAATAACACTAATAATATATAATATATAATATATTGTCGATATTCAGTATACCATAACATATACCAGCTTACATTAAAACATCATAATAAATGTAGATTGACATGAAAATAATCACATTTCTTTTTAGTATTTAAAATAATAGTTAAGATATCATCATTTTGTGAGTTGGATCAAAAGTTACAAACCGACTTTGTGGGTAACACCGAGGAAGAGGAGAAATGAGTACGTTGAGGTCGATAAAACAAGTAACAAAAGTTGACATTAATAACATTAATGACACAAACGAGTACTATGAGTATGTCGTAGCTGTATATCTACACAGTTCGCATGATATCTACACATTTGTTATAAATATTTTCGAGACACTTGAGCATGTTACATGCAGGAAATCATGGTTATAATACGATGTAATAATAATGTCAGGTCCTATAATAAATAAAACATACATTACACATTGTGTTTGGTCTTTTCATGGTCAGGTTCTTTCTCTGTTTTTTCAACACAAAAAAGTTATATGACAATTCATTAAAATACGCGCAGACATAGAGAAGTTTGCCTTCCCTTTATATCAAAGTCAATGGTACTAAGTATCAACAAGTTCTTCAAACATCCCTTTTTGATTATAAAGCGAATCAATTAGGCCACCAAAGGATGTTTGCGTTTTTCGTGGAGGGAAGGGAAGTTGGGG